TATTGATCTTTACTTCACATTCTATACAATCCAGTACGAATTTATCTTTACATATATGTATCTTCGTACTGTATCGTATCATTTCAAACTTGTATAAAATACAGTACTAAATTACCTTCAGTACAGTACATTATATATGTATATTCAATTTTGTGATATTTATCATTGCATGATCTAATATCGATGTTATCGATTATGATTTACAAAAAATTCTTTATTATTGAGAACATTAAAAATTTGCTTACATATAACTTGCATATTTACTAATGTGTTATTTATAAAGTGTTGCTAAAATATAGAAAAATATAGAAACCATGTACATTTTGACAAAAGAATTTTGAATTAAACTTTAACTCGATACAGTATTTGCACGAAATAACGCCCGGGGCTTATTTCGAGACACACATTGCTTGAAAAGAGCTAATAATTAATTAACCAAGTGTGAAACATAATTTTTTTGTTATTAAAAGTCTTTGTATAAATTAATTTTATCCAAATTATACTTAATTAATCCCCAGACGCACATTTAAAAGTTTAAACTTGACGGCCTAAACCATATTTTCAAAATTTTTTAGTGCTAAATTTTTTTTATTATTCTTCATAAAAATTATATTTCACATTTCCTTTACATCATAAAAATTATATTTCACATTTCCTTTACATCATTTAAATGATTTTAGATGAATTAGCAAGGTTATTAAATGACAATCAAATACCTTGAAATAGGTTCATGCAATAATTAGATATCGCATTTAGAAATATAATAAAGTACGTACGTACGTACATAAAAAATTTTTCATTATATACGTATAATTTATTAAATCACATGTATTGGTAATAATTTAAGCCCTATGCACACATAATGACACGTATCGTTTCACTGATCATGGTGATTATGCTAGGTTTATGCAGTTTACTGATTAGATTTTTTTCTACAACTATAACAATAAAGTTTGTAATTAATATATCTAAAAAAAATCTTGTAGTATGATAGCACAAAGAGTTGCTATGTATAGCAACCATCCAAACTTTTGGACAAGCCCAAACGGTGCGAAAATTAATACTACATTGGATTTTACCACTTAATTTCTTATGAATAAATCAATGTTATGTTAATTTCCACATGGTTCGGATCCCAATAATGAAAATCCGATACAAATATTTAAACAAAGAAACTTATCCATATTTTTTTTAATACAATTAACTTAAATGAGATCTGCATTTATTACAACACATTTACATTAAATTTTTAAAATATTCATCCTTGAAAATTGAAGTTTTAAAATTCAAACCAAAATGAAGTTTGAATTAACATTCAAAATTATAAGTATTTTAAAACTATTGTCTTCTCTACTTTATTTTATTCTTTGGATATATTGTGTTGTTCATGAATTCGGTTCACTTTATGAATATATAATTTTAGGTCTCGCTTTTGCTTTGTCGATAATATTTTTTTGTTCTGAAATAGTTGCTTTAGCTCTTTATATTGAAGGCAAAGAAAAATATTCAATTGTAAACAACTGGATAATTATTTTTACATATCTTATTCTTTCACTATCTTATAATGGAGCAATTAGAATAGAAAATTTATCAGCGGGAAAAGTGTTTCCTGCTCTCATTGTTTTATTATGGATTATACCAATACTTTCATTAATTCAAATCGTCATCACTATTGCTAAACCTACTTTTTTGGAATTTTGCAAAATCATTAAAGCATTATTTATTATAAACTACTTAATAGATTATACCATTCTAGAATCTAAACATGGACCTAATCCATCTTTTGGAGATGAAAGATATGAAAAATATCATTCTAAAAATCTTTTAGTTGTTTGTATAGCCGGAATTTTGAATTTAGTTTTCGAAATTATTATGTTTTTGGTGGATAGAAATATTTATATAATAAGGAGATTTTTTATTATACTACTCACCTTTATTTATTTTGGTGCCGCCTTTTCAAATATGTATTTCTTAGCAGAAACTACCTATAATATACTTGATGGATTAATATGGATTATTTTGGTTGGTAGCTTGATGGAAATCATAATATGCTTGACGGATTAATATTGATTATTTTGGTTGATTATTTTGGTTGATTATTTTGGTTGATTATTTTGGTTGATTATTTTGGTTGATTATTTTGGTTGGTAGCTTGATGGAAATCATATTATGCTTAAGGAAATAGAACTTTAATTACTTTTTCGATTATTTTTTTTTATTTATTCTATTAATTAGCCATTATACATGAAAGTGAATTCTTGCTAATGTATACATAAGGAATTTCGGATATTTATATATTTATAGGCTTTAGAATTGTAAAATATTATGTTAAAGTCTCTGTCACTAATTGAGTCTTTCTGAATATTACTTTATACCATATGTAGTAGGAAGCTAAACTGGCTGAAGTCAACGTGATAGTTGCATTTTTTCAAATTAAATTACGGGGTAAGGGGGTAAAAGTTGGACCCGGAAATCCGGATACCCGTTTACTGCTCCCTTTTTATAAAAACTATATTCGGATAACTGTCAGTTTTTAATTTGCGGATATCTGGATAAACCCTACGGATATCTAAATAATCACACGGATATCCGAATATACCGGATAACCTAGGATACACAAAGTCATATACATTTAATTATTATATATGCAGTGGCGATCATAAATAATGGAGCAAAAAAAAATTTTTGGTTAGATCGCATTATCTCACGCAATTCCGGGTGTATCTGTTAGCTTTTTTTTTTTTTATTTTATTCGTCAATGGTACCTTTTTTTTAATATTAAAATTTTAATCGTTGTTGTT